GGTCGTGGAGGTTGGCCGTTCTCCATTTTGCCATTTTGCGACATCATGACCAACTTCTTTTTTTTTTTTTTTTAGATGGCATGTCTCACTAAACAACACTCCAAATGTTATTCTAGTATATAGAAAGACATTTTTAGAAAATCTAGGTTCCGCATTATTTTCCTACACATTGATTCAGGTACGGTTATCGTGGCAGAGACTGCAGAGCGAATGTCTACCTCCTCCCAACTGGAGAGATCGTATACTTCATTGCCTCCGTTGTGGTTCTGTTTAACTATGAAGAACGAACTCAGAGGCATTACCTCGGACACACTGACTGTGTCAAGTGGTAAGAAAACACTAATTCACCTGCTGCTCTCCTGTTGGCTGGTTTATGGTGACAGGTGAGTGATATCATCTCTTTGTGTCTCAGTCTGGCAATTCATCCTGATAAGATTCGGATTGCTACAGGACAAATTGCAGGAGTGGACAAAGACGGACGGGTGAGTGTGAACATGGTTTTATCTGTAGTGTAATATTCTGACTGAATCTAATGTTCGAGTCCTGGCACCCAGTAGATTTCAGCAACAAACTAGACGGCACTCAGAGTGTAGAACTCTACCGAGGCACATCAGATTCCCCTTAATAGCATTTTAAAAATGTGTGGATCGGGATGATGATCTGGATCACCACCAGAATCTAATGCGTTATTCTGTGGGCTTTACCCTACCTCTCCAAAAAAATTCATCAAAGTCCATTCTGAACTTTTTGAGTTATGATGTGAACAGCAGTAAAAACATTTTTAAAAAATGTTGATGAAACAAGACTAAAATGAGAATTTTGTCGACATCTAACATTTTTCTCTAACAAAAACAATGGATAATAATATGAAAGATAGTTGAATGGTCAAATGAACTAATTACTTGTTGAACAGAAAATGACACCTGTAACTGATAACTACACAACAAAGGAGGAGACAAATGTAGGCTCAGAATGAGAAGACAAAAATGCTTAACATAAATGAGACTCAAATCTCACTGAAATGACTCAACAATCACATGTGGTGTTTGTCAGTAACGATGAATTGTCTTGTCCTTGTGTTCAGGCCTTGCAGCCCCACGTTCGTGTCTGGGACAGCGTCAGTTTGTCGACTCTGCAGGTTGTCGGTTTGGGAACATTTGAGCGAGGTGTCGGCTCTCTGGCTTTCTCTAAAGCTGTGAGTGTGGCTTTTCCCCTGTTCATGTCCTGGTGATGGGTCCTCTGTTTGGGAGGTGATGGTGGTGTGGTGGGTAGAGCTGTCGTCTCCCAACCAGAAGGTTTTAGGTTTGAATCTCAGTGCCTGCAGTCCACGTGTCGAAGTGTCTTTGGGCAAGACAATGAACCTCTAGTTGCCCTCGATGGTTAGAGCCGTCGGTTGAGGTGGCGCCGCAGATGGCTGCCATCGGTCCTTTACCGGAAACAAATTCCTTGTGTGTAACATACTTGGCCAAATAAAGGTGATTATCCTTTTCCTTATAGTGACTGTTGGAGCTCCACCAGAGAAAATTACATTTTGACAGAAGCTTGACCCTCCACGTCATATATTATGTAGCAATGAGGCCAAGCCCCCTTGTCCTTGCTCCTCAGTAGCTTTTTAAAAAAAATATGCTGGTAGAGCAAAAAGTTCTAAAATCAAGGTGTTTAGTTACCATTTAAATGTCCAATGATGGAAAATGATCAAACACAGGACTGTTTAATCCTCCATCTACCCCCCACCCACCCCGGGCAAGATTCACACAGTCTGTCTCACATCATGTCTACCTGTCTCTCTGTCAGGACTCTGGTCAGCACCTGAGTGTGATTGACGACTGTAACGATCACATGTTGACAGTTTGGGATTGGCAGAAGAAGTCAAAAATTGCTGAAATCAAGGTGAAACACATTTTTCTTATAAATACACAACAAAACAATGGATGTTTGTTTTCTTGTAACATGCTTGTTTTTCCTGTTTGCTATTGTGTCATAGAAATGTCTTGACTACAAACTACTCTGATCAAGGTGAATGTAAACAAGCGGACTGCACTGGTTCTGATTGGCTCTAACTTGTCAGCTGGTTTGTAGCCAGTTGTAACTGGTTCTGAATGATTTGAACGAGTCTCGTAAGGCTCAAAACTTCATGCAGACGCCCCCGGTGAACATAGTCAACATGCGCTGTTACAGACTGGTGGAGGCGATCAAGCTCAGTCCACAAGGGGGCGATATAGGGTGGACCCCGCCTCTTGTCCAGTGTCAGTTGATATTGGCTCCAGGCCCCCCCCCCCTTCAGGAATAAGTGGTATAGATAATAAATGTATGGATGGATGAATTCAGTGCAGTGATGCGTGAACCTGAGCTTGCACAGCTTGAAGAGTTTGCATACTTAGGTGAAGTATGTTTCAAGCCTTCTGATACTAACTGGTCTGTGGTTTTCTTACAGACCACTAAGAGTTGGTCCTGGACGTGCAGTTAAACCCCACCGACTGAAATACTACTGAGAAAAGCTCTAACTTGTATCTGGCTTGTTTTAACTGGTCTCTAACTGGTCTGCTGTTTTCTTATAGACCACTAACGAGGTGGTCCTGGCCGTGGAGTTCCACCCGATCGACTCAAACACCATCGTCACCTGTGGAAAGTCCCACATCTTCTTCTGGACCTGGAGCGGGTCCTCGCTGGCTCGTAAACAGGGAATATTTGGGGTGAGAACATGTTTTTGATTTTCAAGTGAATTTGATAGATTTTTTTTTTTTTTTTTATCAAGCACTGACCACCACACAGTTTGTTTTATATTTATGTTTCCGTGGCAGAAGGTTGTGGTATCTGTAAAATGATGGATGTTTAATTTTGATGAAATAAAATAGACAGTCACACTGTTCAGACACATATTGTCCATTTTCTACACAAGATAACTTCTTCATGACCAGTGAAATATGAGTGTTCAGCCCTTTAACTTTTGTTTTTTTTAATTGCACTTAAGATTTATTGATATACGATCTGCCATGACACAGGAGCTGACTCAAAGAAATTATTTGTGCATTTTCTATTAAGTTCTTTTTCAGACTTTTTACGTTATAGTTTCAGTAACAGGATAAAAACACCAGACCGACAAAACTACAGTTAAGTATCAACTGTGATTGGTCATTTCTGCAGTAGAAATGAAGTTTTCAAAAATATGAAATGAAACACTTGTTTTTCTCAACAGGCAATTAATCTCAGTACTGAACATCTGGAAAAATAATCAAATATTAGTGCTATCCTAAAAGATTAAATTGGTAAAACGATAAATGAGGTTTGGTGAAGCAGAGCTTTAAACAAAATGAATATGATATGCTGATGAACAGGAAGCTCCACCGGGCTGAACGCAAAGGAACAAAACCTTCAGATTTAAAGTTAGTCTTAGAACTGTAGTCATGTTTTTTTGATTATATAAACCTGATCAGTTTTTATCACAGACTGTTTCAGATCAGCTCATGTTACAGAAAACCTAATCAGCATGAATTTAATAAAAATAAAAATTTCACAAGGTAAATTCAGCTTCATCTAGCAGTGAAAACATGTCAAAGACTTGTAATAAACCACATGAAATCACAAACTAAAGCATCAAAGACAGTCTATCACTGAAACAAAGAAGGTTTCATACTTTCAGCTGACTGTCCACCCTCGTTTCATGACAGATTCAGGACTTTCACCCAGAGTTTTAATGTGAACTCAAGTTTTTCACTATATCGGGTTTAAACACTTCAGCTTCCAACCCAAAAGCTGTAGCTTGAACTTTTTAGAACCTGTAGGGCAAACTCTGACTCCCTTTTTATCATGCTTTCAGAAATACGAGAAACCGAAGTTCATCCAGTGTCTGGCCTTCCTGAGTACTGGAGACATCCTGACTGGAGACTCTGGAGGAGTTCTGTTGGTCTGGACCAGGAGCTGCACTGAGACCTCCACTGGGAAGGGACCCAAAGGTAAGTAGGAACCCATTCAAACCAGTTACCTTATCTACTACAGCAACTTACTGAACTTGAATCTGTTGTCTCGGGTTCCTCTCCTTTTCACTGTCTTCCATCTGATTTGGAGACAAGGTCCAGGATGCAAGTTTTAGTTCTGCTTGTTCGAGAGGTGTTTCACAACCTAATTTTGGCTCCATTTGTGGTTTTCGTGAAGTAAAAGTTTAGTAAAGCTCAGACTGACATTTAATCTGAGTGCAGTAGATATTTACTTAAATAAGAGAAAGAGCTCGGTCTCTGGTGTAGAAAACTGACTTAATTTTGAACAGACTAAATAAAACATTTAAATAAAACTTCAGCAGCAGATTTGTTCAAAAAGCAATCTGAAGGAAAAGTGTTTTCAGATGAGTGATAGGAAGTATTTTATGTGAGGTTTCCCTGTTTGCACCTTCAAACCTAAGTGTGCACAGAAGCCTAACGACAGTAGAAAGAGCGTTAAGACATTCAAATGTGGTTACAGAGTTTGTCTTCAGGTACTTTGACATGAAATGAGAACGACCGTTGAAAATGAGCTTTTTGGCTAACAACTGTGATAGAATTTGTTTTATTGATGAATGCATTTTGTTTGTTCCAATCGACTTATAGACATGACGGTAAAGTATTGAATCTTGAATCTCGGCATACAGTATTTCTGGTAATGCTGATTAATATGCGTTTTCCCTGAAATAAAATCAATACACTGTTATTCATTACTTAATATTAAAATATCACAGATTATTATTACATTTTTTTAAAATGTTTAACAGGCTGAAATTGGCAAATGAATAAATCTTCATGTTCTTGTGTAAAACAGAGAATTTAATAATAAAAATCAGGAAAATTTCTCCTTGATTTATTTAGACAAAATGTTATTTCGCATACATTTTTCTGAATTCTTCTACCTTTATAAGCCATGACCATAGTGAGATAACTGTGAAAGATGCAGTGATGCAACAAATTCTGCTGGTTCCAGATTCTTGTGTAAATTGTTGGTTTTCTGAGAAGGTAAACTGAACATTGTTGTGTTTGTGGCAGACAAGGCATTTAAAAATGCTCATTTGGGGTTCAGTAAACAATGAGCACAATGTTTTTTTTTTGTCTGTTGAAACAAAGAATTAAAGCAGTTTGATAAAACATTTTACAACAAAGGAGCCACAAATATAAACTAAAACACTATAGGTCTAAGTCGGACCACTAGATATTTGACACGAAACCTAGACACCAGATTAGGTAACTGTGGTTAATACTATACATTAGAGTAAAACTTTAATGTCCCCTGGGGGATGTTTGGCTTGTACAGCAGCCAGTAGAAAATCCGATCTTGATCAGTCATGTATGAACAGTAGAATAATGAAAGCAAGAAAAGCCTGTTTCTGTTTTCATTTGAGCACCTGAACTTGTCCTTTAATGTCACAAAGTGTCGCCTCCATGTTGTTTTCTTTCTCCTTTTTTATTTATGCATCAGTTCCAGAAAGGACAGGTGTGACTCACCAGTGTGTGTTTTCTGTGTGTGTGTGTGCAGCGTTTCAGATCATTCGGCAGGTCAAAGGTCATGAAGGCAGCGTTTTCTGTATGTGTGAGATGAGGAGTGGCACTCTGCTGACTGGAGGAGGAAAAGACCGGAGAATCATCCTTTGGGACCATGAGCTCAGGGCCGACCGAGACATTGAGGTGACACAAAAATACAGAGAAATATTTGAAATTCTTATTCCTCCTTCTCGGACTCCTAACTCAGTGAGCTGTGAACACAGACGTGAAACATTGATCAGATTCAGTGTGACGTCCATGTTTGGAGGATATCGTTACCTCTGATGTCCCTCCACAATAAACCCCCATAAATCCACTTTAGAAAGGAGAAGAGGCTGCAGAATCCTCCTGTTATTAACTTTACTTCAATCTCACTGTGATCCAGTGACAGTTGTCTGAACATCCATGGGGACACTGCACACAGGAGCTGGTCTTGTGTTTCCTTGGTCACGGCTCCCCCAGTCGCCTCCTCGGTCCTCAGAGCTGATATAAGAGATTTGGAACATCCTATGTCCCCGATCCACCGGAATGACTTCTGGGTCGACCGAGGACATTGGAACGATCTTATAAGAGACATGAGATGTATCCGTGGTATACATTTTGTCTAAACTAATACAGAATAAACAATGGTTGTAGCCCACAGTTAATTCAGTGACTCCTGTTTACATCCCTCAAAGCATCATGGAAACTACATTGACAGAGCACGATTATCCCCTAAAACGAAGTAAGACAGACAGTAATAACAGCAGTGGCACAGCCCATTAATATAAATATTTACATGTTGCACCATTATTCTAGGACACATGACTCAGACTGAGGTCACCTGTGCCTGTCTACAGGTCCCAGATCAGTATGGAACGATCAGAGCGGTGTCTGAGGGGAAGGGGGATGAGTTTTTGGTTGGGACGTCTCGTAACTTCATCCTGAGAGGAACCTTCAATGATGGTTTCCTGGTGGAGGTCCAGGTGAGATTACATAGCATGTTGGTGGTGTCATGTTGTGTGAAGAAGACCAGACTCCTTACTTCCTAGATTTAAAGTTCACAATAGGCTCCTCAGAGGAGAAATTGAAATTAATGGTGATGTCGTGATGTGTTCAGTGTCTCAGTTTGTCTTGTGATATGTTCAGGGTCACACAGATGAGTTGTGGGGTTTGGCGTCTCACCCGTCCAGACAGATGTTTCTGACGTGTGCTCAGGACCGGCTGGTCTGCCTCTGGAACGCAGCGGATCACAGTTTGCAGTGGAGCCGCACGCTGGAGGTGAGGGAGAGAAGGGGGTGACTGACAGGCAGCTGGGTGAGTGATTGATTATTGACAGATGATAGACCACTCTGTCTGTCTCTCAGGAACATGGACACTGTGCAGATTTCCATCCCAGCGGAGCTGTGGTCGCCATAGGAACACACTCAGGAAAGTCAGTACAGCTCATTCATTGATCTAGAGACTCCCCATCTACTCTGCATATACAGTACTGTAGATCTACATGAATATCATGAATAGTTTGTAAATCTGTAGGTGCTGGCCTACATGTGTCATGGTCTAACGGTTCTACCTGTCGCAGGTGGTATGTTCTGGATGCAGAGACCACTGACCTGGTGGGGATCCACACTGACGGGAATGAGCAGCTGTCAGTGATGCGTTTTTCTGTAGGTGGGTTACATTGACAAACACACTGTTTCCTTGATTATGTTATGTGAGAAGTGAGCTACATGTCCCAGAATGCCTCTGTCTTTCTCTCAGATGGCGGTTTGCTGGCTGTAGGATCTCATGATAACTTTATTTACCTCTACACCGTCTCAGACAGAGGACGCAAGTACAGCCGATACGGGAAGTGCACAGTAAGACTGTCTGGACTCTGCTGGGTTCATTATTTTTATTTTTATTCATTTTTCAAACTTTATTTCAAGTCAGATTATTCCACATGTTGAGGGTCAGCTGACGTCGATTCCCATCAAAACACATGACCTGTAGTGGAGAGATCCTGACTGCTAACATGTGGTTATGTAAATACCAGGTGTGGTTGGCTTATGTGTAGGCAGTGAACCATAGTATTGTATTGTAAGAAGCCTGTGGAAGGCATCCTAAAACATTTGGCCCAATTTATAGATCATCTTCTCAGTTGCCACCGAACTGACAATGCGAATGCTAAACTTGGCATGTTTTACACCGGATGCCCTTCTGGATGAATTCTAATTTAGAGTCGCCAGTCAACCTAAGCTGCATGTCTTTGGACTGTGGAAAGAAGCTGGAGAAAACACACACAGCCATAGAGAGAACATGCAGACTCTGCACAGAAAGGCACCAGGTTGGCCCGGAGCCTTCTTGCTGTGAGGCAACAGTGCTAACCACTGTGCCACCGTGCTGCCCCAATTTAAACAATTTAAAGATAATAAGAAATAAAAGCTGAAATAAATATTTTACTATTATTAAGACATTTCACATTCTTAAAATAAAGCAGTGATCTTAACTCACCTGAGACAGAGAATGTTGATAGGATTAAAAGACAGGCGTTGTGAAAAACTGAGCTTAAATGAATTTGGCTGATGTGTATGTAAACTTCTCACTTCAACCGTACCAGTAGACCAACACGAATGCAGAAATGTACACAGAAGTTTTGAACACTTTCTTGATCAGACGTAACTGTGCATTAGACAGTACTGCTACTCCTAGATGGAAAGCCCTACTTCAGTGAAACGTGACGACCACTTTCTCCAGCAGATCTGATTTCACAAGACGGCAGTTTTCATGCTGAGTGACAAAGCTGATGTCGCACTTCCACCAGAAATCCAGAGAGAATCTGGAAAGCAGCTTCATCTTTCCTTTCTAAGTGGAAAACACTGATACAGTAGTCACTGAGGAAAAGGTACACAGACCCAGTGCTGGTGTAACCACATACTTCCATCAGTACCTGTCCGCCACAGGTGAAAGAGTGAGTTAGCAGTGGGCTTGTTTTACTCCAGACAGCCTCAGTGGTGGGTCAGGAATGTGCTCTGTTGCACCTATAACCACACCCACCCCCAACAGTGATGACACAAGGTCCTGCAGAACACTTGCAGCCAGGTGAACTTGCATGTGTGGAATATGCAGCACTACGGAGCCCAGAGTTCAGTCCTGTTGACATACACACAGGCTGTGTGTATTCAGGTGATGATGATGCTTAGGTGTGTTCATCTCTGTTTCACAGGGACATTCCAGCTACATCACACACCTGGACTGGTCACCTGACAACAACTTTATCATGTCAAACTCTGGAGACTACGAGATTCTCTACTGTGAGTACACTGATACTATTAACACTGTGGTAGTTTGATACTGTAGTGTTAGCGCTGTGTATTGTGGTGTCATAGTGTGCAGTAACCGTTTTGTTTTTTTTGTTTTTAGGGGACGTTCCAAATGGTTGTAAACTGATCAGAAATCGATCAGAATGTAAAGATATCGACTGGGCGACCTACACCTGCGTATTGGGTTACCACGTGTTCGGTCAGTGCATGTGAGAGTGTGTTTCTGTGAGTGTGTTTGTGTCTGTCTGTGTGACATTGTGAGAGAGAACGCTCATATTTTAGTGTTGAAAATTCTTTATTCCTACACATACACTGTATGACCAGAGGTTTGTGGACACCATGTGTTTGGCCGTTGTTTGGCTCTGATCCTCAACAGTTGAGTTTATTTGTATAATGGCAATTCACAACAACAGTCCTGTCAGGGCACCTTACATAGTCAGGTTTATACCTTATGATGAGGGGGGCCGAAGAGAGGGGAGAGGGAAGGGAGAGGGGAGAAGGTAGGTAGGTAGGTAGGAGCCCACAATGGGGAAATTCCTGTGTTCCAGCAGTAATAGAGAGCAGCAACAAAACACCATAAGAACAAACACCACACACATATCTTGAGAAATAAATTCTAAAGTACCTAAAACCAAACAGAATATAGTATTTGAGAGACAATCAAGAACAAGAATGACAGCATCCTTCTGTCCGCCACCTCCTCAATGGAATCCAAAGGCCAGCTCAGGACAGACCCAGCTCTCTTGACCAGCTTGTTTATTCTCTTTCTGTCCCTGACCATGCTACCTCCTGCCCAACCCACAACAGCGTAAAAAACTGCAGATGCCAGTACAGTATCATAAAATGTCCGAAGGAGTGCCCCGCACACACCAAAGGACCCTCAGCAAGTGGAGGCGGCTCTGGCCCTTTCTGTACAGAGCATCTGTGTTGTTGGTCCAATCCAGTTTATTGTTGAGGTGGACCCCCAGGTATTTAAAGGTGTCCACAATCTCAATATCTGAGCCCTGAAAGTTCACAGACTTGAGTGATGGTGATTTCCGCTGGAGGTCAGTCACCATCTGTTTTGTCTTGCTGGTGTTCAGGACTAGGTGATTTTTGTCACACCACTCCCCAAAATTGGTAACTGTCATGAATCAGCGTGCAATGCTGCCGAAAAGCGTTTGGTGAACTCATTAAAGGGCCAGACGAGGAAGTGATGAACAAAACCGTCTCTTTAATAAGAGAACTACAACTAAACAAAACCATGCAAGACAAGGTGAAACACCAAACTCGCGGTCGGTATCACAGTCCCAGGTCAGAGCCAGCAAACGCGTACAGCAAAGGTAATCCAAAATGCGTAGTCCGAAGGGAAGTCCGATAATCAAACACAGTGGCAGTCCGTAACAAGAGGGCAAGGCAGAATAGAATAGTCCAAGGAAACAATACGGGTCAAAACACAAAATACCAAAACCGAAGAAATGCTGGAGAGTCAGAGCTGGGGTCTAGAACAATCTGGCAGTGTCCTTGTGGGAGGATGCTGCCTAAATAGAGGAGTAAACAATACGAAGCAGGTGAAACTAATGTGAGTGATGAAGAACGTAAAAAGACCGAAACTAAGGTGAAACGAAAACAGGAAGTAAGGTCAAAATAAAAGTCCGACAGGAAGCAGTGGAACTGAATCATGACAGGTAACAACCCCCCTATATTCCCACTCGTCCCCCCCAGATACACATCCAACAATGGCAGTGTCGTCTGAGAACTTTTGTAGGTGACAGTGGTGGGAGTTGTACTTGAAGTCCGACGTGTAGAGGGTGAACAGAAAGGGGGAAAGCACTGTCCCCTGGGTGCCCCTGTGCTGCAGAGAAGAGGGAAGGAGAGGAAAGAAAAGGGAGATGGGAGGAGGGGTGAGGAAAGGAGAGAATATATCTAACCCTAATTCTCCATTCATTTGGTAGCATGTGGTTAAATTTTGAACAGTGCTTATCATTGGTTCTCCTGGTTGACTTTGCCTCGCCTCTTGTCTGCCCATCAAATCTTCATACATTGCTCTAAAGCCAGCCCCGCACTACAGAATATTTAGCCTAAATTGGGCCTAATTTGCCATTTGGTAATTGTGGGGGCATTCCCTGACACAAGGCCGGAAGCGATGCTCGGGCCAAATTATCTTGTGAGTTGTTTAAAGGCCTAATTGTTATGCCACCGACAGGATCAGTGGACCCCGATATTTAATTGTAAGCATCAAACATGTTTGATATTAATGACTTGGAAGCCTGTAGTGTGGGGGTAGCAGTGATTAAGTCCTGACCAGACACCTTCAACGGCCAATGACAACAAGCTGTCCAGGAAACACAGTTGGCTCAGTGGAGATGACTGGACTTCTCGCAGTAATCGGGGTCCCTTTAAGGTGCATTTAGAACCAGTGGTGGTCAGATCCTTGTGTTGTGCAATATTTGAAACTCCCCGTTTTACCTGCTATCTTATTCCTGTAACCACAATTTTATCAACTAATTTGTATTCTTGGGTATTCTTGTTTTTTGTATTCTTGGGTGATATTATATTTAGACCAGGTGTTCATTCTTTTGGCTTTAAAAACCCTGACTCCAGGAGAGCCCTGCACAAGAATTCCTCTATGCATAGACTGTGTGTTTATGCATAAATGGCAAATAAAAATCTTGAATCTTAAGTAAAGGTAGCAGTACAAGATTGTGAAAATACTCGGTTACAAGTAAAAGTCCTGCATTCAAAATGTTAAGTAAAAGTACAGTGCCTTGCAAAAGTATTCATACCCCTTGAATTTTTCCACATTTTGTCACGTTACAACCATAAACTTAAATGTATTTTATTGGGATTTTATGTGATAGACCAACACAAAGTATCGCATAATTGTGAAGTGTAAGGAAAATGATACGTGGTGTTCAAGATTTTTGTACAAATAAAAATCTGAAAAGTGTGGCTTTCCTTTGGATTTAAGGTATTCAGCCCCCTTTACTCTCATATCCCTAAATAAAATCCAGTGCGACCAACTGCCTTCAGAAGTCACCTAATTAGTAAATAGAGTCCACCTGTGAGTAATTCAGTGATGTGTCCACCCTTTGCTGGTACAGCTTTCTGACATAACTTGCAAATCAGGGGTGTTTGATTCCAATCCAATCTCTTGTAGCCAAAACTTTTTCAAAATGACAGAGGAAACCCTTTTTTTTCCAAATTAGCACTTAGATAATTTCAAAGAGTGAGCCCCATCTTTCACCATGCTTGTTGTATTTATAAGCACACATATGACACCATGTTACAATGCCACATAATTGTCTGTCATGTGTGCACGCCACACATGACATAGTCAGTATGGCGAGATGACAGATTATTTTAGGCATGAATTATCACAGTATGTTGTGGACAGTAGAATATGGCACAGCCCTAATGAACACCAGAAATTACACTGAAATCATCATACATGCTTGTAAATATTTTTTGTTACTTTAATCAAGACTAATTTGTCTCCATGCATCTCGCTCTCTTGGAGTCATTGAACCACAATAAAACTGACGTAAAACTTATGAAGTGGAGCTTCATCCCTCACATAAGGTCTTTGGTCAGTTTCAGAACCACAAATCAACAAGTGACAAGTTTCACTTTGTTCACATAAATTAATTAAATGTGTTGTGTGTGTGTGTGTGTGTGTGCGTGTGCGCGCTCCAGGTGTGTGGCCAGAGGGTTCAGATGGTACTGACATCAATGCTCTAATCAGATCTCATAACAGGAAAGTCATCGCTCTGGCAGACGACTTCTGCAAAGTTCACCTGTTTGCCTACCCTTGCTCCACCCCTAAGGTGAGACATACACGTAAACATAGACAGTTAGCACACACACGATTAAATTGTTGAACTAAGTTGTTCTTACAACAACCCAGAATGTGTGTTGCTCACTTAGACATTTTTCTCACCAGTATGCTGCAGTTAAAGAAATGTGCATTATTTCAAATGATAAACATGAGCCATCAGTCATTAATCAATAATTTATTTCTCTGCAGGCTCCCAGCCACAAGTATAGCGCCCACAGCAGTCACGTGACCAATGTCAGTTTCCTGTATAATGACAGCCACCTGATCTCAACAGGGGGGAAGGACACCAGCATCATGCAGTGGCGTTTGGTGGAGAAATCTTCAGTCTCTCTCAGTGACAGCCTCCTCTCTAATCCCACCCCCTGCCAAGTAGACCCCACTGTTGCTCTGTCCCCAGCCACCACTACCACTCCCACACAGGAAACCGACCTACCCGTAACAGCCAACGGGACACAAGAACTCTCCCCAGAAACCCCACCCTTCACTGAGCTAGCCCCGCCTGCGTCAGAGTTGACCCCACCGTGTTCTGATTCGACCCCACCCCCATCAGACAGCACGGTGAGTTTGAAGGACAGCTTGGAGCCGAGTGACGACACCACCACACCCAGTGATGAGGGGCTTCCCCCTGCCCCCCCCCTCCCCCCCCTCATAGACCGAGTCTGTGCATGTGTTTTGGTACAGCTGTCTTTGTGAGGACCAGGCTCAGCTATACATCTTGTGAGGACAACTTTATAAAGTGAGAACATTTGTACACAGGTGTAACATTTTGTTCATCTGTTTGAGGGTTCAAGCTGTTTTTGAGGTTAAAATGTGGTCAGTCTGGGGTTGTGCATGAACCAGTCACCGCAAAGTAAGGATTAATACAACTGAGGATATCATTATATCTGATGTTCATCCGTGATAATCCTCCATGACTCCACTTATAAATCTGATGAAAAGAGGCTGCATAACCTGCCGGAGAATACTCGCGTGTTTGTTTCCTTCAGTATCACAGTGATCCACTGATAGTTGTCTGTAAATCCATACTGCACAGAGGAGCTGCTTACTAGTCATTCAGCTGCTGTTAATGGGGACAGTTGGACTACATGGAAACTAACAGTCAGGAATTTTCTGTGGTATAATGTTTGTGTTGTTTGGGCAGGTCACACATCATCAGCGAGGGTCCTCACAAGTATAGAAGTACAAATGTGTGTATGTGTTTTGGGACACAGACACGAGTGGCTGCCAAATCACCTGACTTTTCTCACCAGTCAGCTGTTAAAATAAACATGCCTTCAGTTTGAGCAAACAGTGTTGCACTTTGAAACACCCGGAGAGTCTGATTTATCTGAGAGGAGAGTGGAGGAGGAGAGACACACACGCGCGCGCGCACACGCACGCGCTTACACCTTTTACACCTGGAGACTCACGGAGCAGCATTGAACTGCTGGGAAGATCCACAAAAGTGAGAATTCTGGTTTGGAAACAAAATGGTTTTATTTTCCAAAATGAACAACTTGAAAGAGAAATAATCATTATACTGTTGGTGAGACAGGTGTGTATCAAGTTAACTTTCTCCACCATTAACAAGGCAGTTGAACAGGCAGTTTCAAGGGTCAGAGAGAAGTCTTAAATGCGTTTTAGATCTTTGCTTTTGTTTTTATAATTATTTGGAAACAAACCACCACTAATCATGTCATGATAAATATATGAAATGATTGGTTTTTATTCCTAATGACTATTGATCAAAGAAATTATATAAGATAAACACTGGCTAATCAAAAAATTGTTAAAACACATGTATTAATTCATTAGACTGAACCTTTTTGTCAAACAACTGAACTCAGCACTTCTAAGACATTTCGCAATAAAAGCTCTCCACTATGGAAGGCTTTTAATGTGAAACGGGAAACATGAAACCTTAACTATGAAAATGATATTAAAAGTCCAAACTACAAAAAAAAACAAAACCAAAATCAGTGGACATTAAAACTGGAAGTGAGAAGTTAATTACGACTCCCAGAATGCATTGCAATAAAGAACAGCCAATCGCAGATCTTCAGTTTCTGTTGTCTTGGGTCCTTTCAAGTTTTGAATCTGTTATTAGGTTCAGTTGGTCTGTTGTTTTATTTCAAGAGCTGTCACCTAAGACAAGTGGACTTCAGTCCAGTGAGTTGAGAGACCAAGATAAACTGAACAAGAAGTAAAGTAATGGAGATGCAAATGGGACTTGAGTAAAGCACGAACAGGAAATCAACATCCAGATAAAATCTGTGACTTGTGTCTTTAATAATAATTGAACTCCAGAATAAACAGAAGTGTATCAGTGGGACATGTCGCTCTGACAGAGAATGTGTTTGTAAAATTTGCTGATTTCTGTGTTTATTCCTGTTCAGCCCCAGATACAGCAGAAGGATTTGGCACAACTTCACCCACTGTAAAGGTGCACAGACAAGAAAAACTGGCAAGCAAAAAGTCCAGCAACACCTGCAGTGCCTTGAGCAACCTCAAGCCCCTGGTGAGGGGGCTAGGGACTTCATGCTGGGCCCCCTGAGCTTGCTGAAGACACTGCAGGTGTTGCAGGACTTTTTGCTTGCCAGTTTGTTCAGCACCAGGGGGCAGCAGCTCCTCAGGTACACTGTAAAAATACTCAGCCACCACACTTTCAACACGCGTGTCTTGGCCATTCCTCTCACAAGACACACAAGGTCCTCTTCTCTGTTTGGCTGGTTGAATCACTGCTGTTTGTTTGTTTTGTCTGGACCATTTCTGTTCAAAACATTTTCTGAATGTCAGGATGATGATGATAATGTCACTCCAGTGGGTGGGTCTCATCAGTTATTTGGGGGGTTGTCCATGTTTCTGCCTTTGTAATACATGTCTGTTTATCTTTTCTATGCTTGTTTCTCTGAAGGTCTTCTAGTTCAGGGACTGATGTGGATGTTCAGGTAGGGGTGGGACCAGACGGTGTGTGGGTGAGGCCTGGGGTGGTGGGCAGGCGTGTTATCGGGTGGGTTCTTTTGGGAAATTCTTGATTACAGTGTTTAATTTGCAGCATCCTGTAACAACATTGATACCCATGATGATGATGTTGTTGATGATGTGACTGTTTTGAGCCAATTATGTCTTCTCTGATGCATTCCTGTCAGATGACAGACTGTACTGAAGATTTCAACAAGAAATGCAAATAAATGTTTAGAAAATTGACAGTGGATCAAGTGTTGGTGTTCTTCCTGCTGCCATTGCTATGGTGACGGTAACAGCCTTGCCTCATTTGTTAGATTTTGATAATGGAGTTGATGATTTGACACGAGTCTGGACTTTTTAGTTCTTTGAAAAATTTCTCTAAAATTTAGTTTGAGCTATTGTATAATAGCAACAAGTGCAATGTTCAGATATATTTACAGCAAATTAATGAACACCAAGACTTTTCAGTTTTTTTGGGGGGGGGATGGTAGGACAGAGGAGAGGAGCAGGGGGAAGAGAAGGAGGGGAGGAGATACTGTATTTCATGTTTTCAGTGGTTAGGTATAAGGTAAGTATCTCAATGACCCTCCCCACTTCATGCGACAACTAGGTGGTTGGGAGTAGAGGGTCAAAGGCAAAGCACAGGCACTTAAGCTCTTGTCACTTGTTGCCGTCTTAGTGTAGTTTATTTCTCCTCCATTTTACCCCATAGGTTGGATTTCTATATTTGAGTTTTGAGTATAGAACGGAATAAGTGCATCCTCTGATGTAATTATGCTGTGTGTTTTCCCTGTTTGGGTTTTATGACTTTTATAGGCTGGAATATGTAAATCGTCCTTTGATTTTTGTGTGCTCTGCAGCATCCACACTATGTTTTCCAATTATTGTGCGGATGCTATGCAGCCACACTCTTGTTTTCCGTTTTTATTGTTATCCACTTCTTTATTATTATTACTATTGTGTGGATGCTGTGCAGCCACACTCTTGTTTTCCGTTTTTATTAGTGTGGATGCGAAGCAACCACACTCATTTTCCAAATCTTATTATAGTTTCTTCCGTATGTTTCTCGCTGCTTATCTCCTCCCACATACTGTACTTACTACAGCTAGACAACCCATTCTGGTATCAAATTGTTCATCTTTTGAAGGACACTATGGCGTGTACTGAACTTTTTTTTTAAAAACTTTCATAATTTTTAATAATAAAGCTTTTTTCACAAAAATTTTCCCATTGGAAATGAATGGGAAAAAGTTTGATCCTTAATATCTCCGGCATACCTTGGGCTAGAAACGCCATTTCAACTCTATTCAACTCCTATTCAATTGTGCAACAATCATCTTGATATCTTGTATGGTTAGTTTATAATCGACATTTATATTTTGTGTATTTCTCCATAGGAATTAATGCAATCCCCAGTGGTACAATCTGGGTCACGTGACTACCAGCTCTAACTTGTATGTCTGTTTTTCAACAATAGGTTATGCGCAACTTACTTCCGTATA